CATTCAACTTGTAAAGAAGTTTGTCTTATGTCTAGCCTGAAGCAATCTTCAATCAGTTTGTACCCATTATTTCTTGTCCTCCCCTGGAAGGCCTTGGTGAATAGAAGCCCTGATGTACACCCCTAATATACTTATAGGCTACCATCAAGTCCCCTCTGAGTCTTCTCTTCTCCAGGCTGAACAGTCTCAAGTCTTTCAGCCTCTCCCCAAATGACCCGGTCTCAAAGCCTCTAGTCATGCATGTGGCCCTCCTTTGGACTCTCTCGAGCTTCTCCACATCCTTCCTGAAGTGCGGTGCCCAGAACTGGACGCATTACTCCAGCTGCAGTCTCACCAAGGCTGAGTAGAGTGGGAGGATGACACCCTTAGCCCTACTCAAGATGCCTCAGTAGATGCATGCCAGCATTTGATTAGCTCTGGCAGATACAGCATCACATTGGTGGCTCATGTTCATTTTGTTGTCTATCACAACACCCAGGTTTCAGTCAGTTGTGGTGCTGGCAAGCATAGCACCACCGAGCCTGTGTGTTGTGGATTATTTCTCCCCAGATGGAGCACTTTACATTTCTCCATATTAAACAATATCAGGTTGAGTTCTGTCCACCTCGCAAGCCTGCCCATGAAACAGTGTAGATTACATGATTTGAGGTAAGGTCTCCCTCTCCACATTAACTGTATAATTTGTTCATGTGAGCACACCCCTAGACAATCTGTTCTACAGTTCCAGCTCTTTTCTCTACCACTCCTGGTACTCCACTGTCCAGCCCTCAGGAGAGCTGGGATCAAAAATAAAAACAAAACCCAAAAGAAACACCTTCAGCCATTACTCTCCCATTCCTGTACCTCAAGTGGGAAGAAGAATCTCCTCTGCCAGCCACACTCTTAGCTAAAGAGGAAACTAGAGATCATATCAGAATGGCGCCCTCACATAGTCTTCTTTTCTGATAGTATTCAGGGTTGAGAGACAGGAAGAAAGTCCTGCACCCACGTCAAGATTGTGTTTCAAGAACAAACAAAAAAAAACAGGGAGTGAGAAGCAAAGTTCTTCCCATCCCAGTGGATTCAATCTCCAGATCTTAGAGAGGAAAGTGGCCAAGAGTCATGGCAAACTCCTCCCTGTCCCACAAAGAAGCTGAAAGAGCATTAACTTCTTATAGTCAGTATGGTAGAAGCAATATCTTTTATTAGACCAACTAGATAGTTGCAAAAAAAAAAAATCTTTATTTATAAGCTTTCAAGCTCACGTGCCCTTCCTCAGGTAAGGAGAGTGCAAAGATTGTAAAATTTCTCCCACGTAGAAATGACACTTCATATTGCACAGGAGAGCTGGAGGATGGTATAAGTTCTCTGGTGTGGAAAGTTTATTTTATGCAAATTAGGCTCATTTTGCAAATTAGGCTCATTTTGAAATGAAAACTTCATAATTTTACAAGAAGCAAAATTCAACACCCTGAAACCTGGAAGCTAACACCCCTGCTCCAGCCCTTTGTTTCAAGCCAAATTTGCATACTTGCAGAGCTGCCTCACCACAACAGAACATCCTTGCCCAGGAGAAGATTTCCATCACCAGTCCTCCTGTGAAATATGAAGCATCTTAACAAGAAAGAAGCAAAATTCAACATACTGCTTGCGATCAGACACCTTCGAGGTAAATAGAGTGCTCCAACTTTTATATAAGCCTAATTTGCATAAAATGAACTTTTCCACCCCAAAGAACTTATACCATCCTCCAGCTCTCCTGTGCAATATGAAGTTTCATTTCTACCTGGGAGAAATTTTACAATCTTTGAATTCCCCTTTGCCTGGGGAAGGGTGCATGAGCCCAAAAGCTTGCAAATAAAGACTTTTTTCACAACTGTGTAGTTGGTCTAATAAAAGATATCACCTCTACCACACCGACTGCTTTTGCTTTTAGACCAACATGGCTACAACCTTTATCCCTTAACTTCTCACAGGCAGACCCAGAAATAAAAGAGCTAAAATGGATGTTTACTCTTAGCTGGGCGTCTAAATATTGGATAACCTTGTATATAGCTGTATTCAAAACCATCTTTAAATGAAAAATATACAAGATACATGCCTGTGGTACTACCTGAATCCAGCAGATTTATTAATGCAGCCAAGGTTCTTTGGGTAGACATGATATCTTTTATTACACCAAATAAGTAGTTGGAAAAAGGTTCCTTGCCAGCTTTTGGGCGCAATCACCAAGGAGAAGATCACAGAACAGCAGACTCCCTATGCCTGAAGAAGGGTGGCTGTGCCCGAAAGCTGCAAAGAACCTTTTTCCAACTACTCAGCTTGTCTAATAAGAGATATCACATCTACCCAAAGAACCTTGCCTGCCTAGGTTCTTAGACCAACACAGTTGCAACTGAAAACCCAGCAGATTTATTAAAATATGTGAGCCTGTTAATAATTACATTTCTTATAAATACTTGTCTTTTTATTTCACAAGATGATAAATGCCTGATCTATCATCAGTTTGAGAGAGCTCTTATCAGTTTAAGGAAGGTAATTATTTAATTCATTAAATTCAACTAAAAATGCTGCAGAAAAAATTAAGTCTCTTTCGATTTGATGCATCTTCTCAGCTTAATTAACACAAGCTTTTCCTATTTTAATTTGCACTTAATAAGCAGGAACTTTACTCAATTTGCTAATTACTACATTTTCAAGCTGTTTTCTTGAAATAGATGCCATCCTATCACACTAGGAACCCAAATTTCTATAGTTACCTCGAATTACGTAATTGTCCAGAGCCTCTTCCATTCTTTGCAATGCTTCAGCTCTATTAGAGCCATAAGTAACTAGCTAAAAACAAAAGTATTTAAGTTAACTACAAGAATTAAATTGTTTTTCTTTTCCTCCCCACTTATTCTGATAAATTTCTTGAGGGGAAAAAAACCACCAGTCTTGCATACAGGTTTTTCATTTACAGAAATCACACCTATTACTATGCCTTTCCTTTAAACCCTTCCCCAAAATAATACCAGGAAAAGACCTCTTGGATTCAGAGGAGGAGACAAGGGGGGTTTGTTTGTCTTGGGGGGGGGGGGGGGGTTTTTTTTTCACATTCAGAAGGACCA